AGCACTTGCTTTAGGCAGAAACTGTGCGGATCTTGTAATCTTTTGTGAGCTGAAACTGCGAAATCAGATGTGATGAAAGATAAACAGGAGGTATTAAGTTACCATCAACATACAAGTTCAACCCGTAACACAACTTGAGTTCATGTTTTGGGGCTTGGGAGAAGTTTAGTTTGAGAAGCAGCTCCATAGTTCATGTGACCGTTTTTTCTTTCCGTTGCTAACCTTCACTTTGTTCGTTGTTTTGCAATGGCTCCTTTTGCTGACCTCAGCTGAGCTTTTAATGCTTTATAACGTTATAGATGAGTGGCGCACTGGAAATCTTCAAGCTCTGTACTTCGCTGTAAGTATATAAGAGGTTGATTAGGGTTTCAGTCTATTCCCTTGTTCTGATGTCAGCAAATAGATTCCACTCTCCTGAACTTGAAAAAAGTATTTTACATGTGTTTACTTTGCTATGGAGTATTAAAGTAGAAAAATGTTTGAGCATCCTTTCATTAGAAAGCCTGCTAAGTACCTAGAACAAGAGCATTCACTGTGTTTTGAGTTGTAGAGAGTTTTCTTACTGCCCGGAGCCACAATGGAGCCACAGTGGAGCTACATCTAATGCTGTTTGCCTGCAGTGTGCAAAACAAATTACCGTTAGTAAAAGTGTTTGAAGTTTCAAGTTACTTTATTTTTGCAGACAGAGTTGACCGTCAGTTATGTTCATGTCTTTACCAAGTATTTCATACGAGTGCTGAAGCATATTTTACTGATACTAGTGGTGCTGCTTAAAGCTGAATCCCGAAGACTTGGTTGAGCCACCCTCCTGTGTTCCGCCATTTGTATCACCATTTTCTCCTGTTCAGAATAATTTGGCTATTGTGTCCATGGTGATTGTTAGGTGCTTTGTGCTTATCCTTGCAGTGGAGAGCCTGGCCATACCGAGTAGTAGTAATGTTGTTTTGTTGATGTTTATATTTCATAAAGTTGGGTGTCTTGATGGCCACTATCTAAATGCGTGTATTTCTGTAAAGCCTCTTTGTTTAGTGAGGGTGCTCCAGCTATGTGGAACTTCAGGTAATGACCAGGTAATTTAAATATAACTTTAGTGTGTATATATGTGTAGGTTAGTGTAGTTTAAAATGCCTTTCAAATGAACATTAGATTAACAATGAAGAATGGATAAAGTGATGAAAGCTATAATAAGATGTGATGCAGGTTCTTTTTCCATTGGGTAGTGTTTTCCAAATAAAGACGCTGAAAGTTTAGTAAATACTCCTGGACCTTTTAAAAGCTGAAGTGATGGAGCTGACGCGATGTTAAATATAAAGTACTTGTAAAACCACAAGGACGTGCAAGCCTGTGGCTGCCAGGCAAAATTTAAAGGTGGTTTTCTTAACTGCAGCATTCCAGGTTATATGAATTAGCCATTCTGATGCTGTTATGAGATATGTTATCAAAAGCAGACTGTATACAAACTATATATTCCACTGTCTTAAGAGGCATGTGACGCCCAGTGCAATTCCGCACGGTGCTTTGCTCATCCGGCTAAGTACATATTGCTGTTATTTCCATTGAAATTGGTCGATAAGAAATCGAGTTAATTTCATGCCTTTCATGCATTGTGGATGAAATCAAATTTCTTCTAATGTATACAGTTGGTTGACATAGGAAGTTTTTATTTGTAATAAAGACAACTTAGTTTATCAATGTATCATAGCACCGTGAGATCCGATTTTTGGATGAAAATATGATTGTAGACTGTGTGCTTTGAGAACATGTTCATCTGGAACCTGTAGGAACTCACTCAGGTGGGGAGTCTCATCACAGTCACATCTTTTTCTAAATTACAGTGTGGTAATGTTTAATCTGGTGTGTGAAATAGTACTATCTACGGGAGGGTATCAGTTCAGCAAAGCCCAGGTCCAGACGTTCTCGGTTGCTCAGTCTTGAAAACAGCCATAACTCCTTTAGTTGCTTGAAGTCTGCACGGCACAGCAAGCATCCAACAAATTTCCTCCTGTTTTCTTACTGAGCCTTCCACTGTATTTTACTGTCTAATTTTAAAGGGGTGGAAGTAATGTGCCCTTTAGGATACAGATATTAAAGAAATGTTAGAGGTAGAGATTCTGATGCAGTGATGGTGGGAGGGGAGTTATTGTTTGTTACTTTGTACTGGTAGTCACCATAACTGCATTGTAATTACGTACCACACTCTACATCATAGACAATGGCCGTGAATGAGTCAACATTGAAAATTTTGCCAAATTCTCTTCAGTGTATAGTCTAGGCAACCGATGTACAAAATGTAGTGGTCCTTGTAAGAGATGAGGACAATGGGAATCTGGGTTTGCTGTGTGTTGATTTATTTTGACTTTCCTGTGTTAGGGACATGTATGGAACAGGGAGTGTTTTTTCTGTTTATTTTACACTGTGTTTTCTATGGCCACTGGTCTGCCTTATTTCTTGATGGCACAAAAATTTTTGAGAGGCGGGAAAAAAATCCCAATTTTCTGTAAGAATGACCATATTTAAGTAAAAACTCTGAATGAGAATTGAGATAAATAGACAAAGCTAAAAAATCCTTGGCAGTGATTTATAAGTTATTATTTAAGTTGCATTTTGTTTCATTTTAATGAGAAAGGTCTGTAAGGTGGCCTCTGAGACAATAAAAGCACCAGCATGTGTTTATTTGCCCGTGATAACTTTCAGCTACCAGTGCTTATGAGTGAATCTTGGTGTCTTGCAAAGTGGTGCACAATGCACCTCTGTCTTCTGGACACTGATCTTGCTGGGAAGGAGCTTTCGGGGTTTACATAAATGCTGGCAAATAAGTTCCTGTAGGCCTTCCTTCAAGCCAGTGGGCTCCTGAAACACAGAAATGCTTTCAAGATGCTAAGAAAACAGGAAAAAGACATGCTTACACACACACGCAATTCCTTTTGTATGACTAATCTGTTTTCCTGTATTTTTAAAGAGTGGAGAATGTGGATTGCGATGCATGGACGAATGTGTTTAGAGCAAACACATTATGGATTCATGTCCCAATTTAATTCCTCATTTCCGTAAGAAAATAGTAGATGATAAAACAGTGTGTGTGTCAGTATGTGTGTATATATATATTTATATTGAATTTGAGACCGATGGGTCAATAGAAGTGGTGGTGGGGAAATGTCAGTATCACGTTCCAGGCACCGCTGCAGATTTTTTAAGCAATATTATGTACTTGGATTTACAAACTTATTTCTTTCATTGGTTTGCTTTTTCTGTGAAATCCTGAAAGTTTAGCCTCAAGTAATTAATTTTTAAAAATATTTCAGAATATGTATCATACTAGATGTTGCATAGTTTCATCTTCCCACTGATACTGTGTTTGCTTTGGTGGAATGTGAAGCTGTATTGTCCTGTTAATTGCTGCTTGTGCCGAAAGGGCTGCTCACCCGAGTTCGGCTGTTCACGTTTGTTTGCGTGTTTGGACACTTAGCTTAGTACACCTACCTGCAATAAAGATTTAAGAAGTTTCAAACTAAGGCTTTAAAAGGTGATCCCTTGCTTTCTATTTCTACTTTGTTGTGTTAATGTAAAGGGTTTGCTCACATGCATGTGTAAAATTTGATAATATTGTGTATGTAATTGTATGATTGTAATGGTGAAATGTTAAAACTAAGCATCTGATTGCCTGGAAGAAGTTAAACTAGAAAGTTTATTAACGTTCAGTCTTGCTGTATTTCTAATGTAAAAAGAATACACCTTAATAAAAAGTTTGCATCCGCTAGCAATTGAATTGCCAATCAACTAATTTATTACTAAAGTAAACTTTGCCAATGAGAAATCTGGGGTGGGACTATTCTGAAGTAACAGTATACGGTGTACGTGTCATAAAAATGACTTTCCTCCCCTCAAGCCTTAGCTACAATGCAGCATAGCCATAATTCAGCAGTAGAGGTTGTGTGTGTCACTCCCTACATAATGATCAAATTTGTGGAAACAGTGTATAGAGAGTCAAGAATCTGGTAAGAGTGTGTCGAGTAAGCCAAGGCTGGGGCAGCCAAACCCATCCGATTGTGCACAGGGTAGAACTGTGGAGCATAGCGGCTCATTTTTTGGTGTCCTACGCTTTATTCTGAACACTTGTGTGGTTGTTGTATGGTTTGTTTTTTGGTTATTGTAATTAAAAAAATTCTTTGTGGAACGGAATCTGGTCTCTTCAGCCATGATCCTTTAAAAAATGCATGGCGCTGAAGAGTTCTGTTTTAAATAGGTTGTCATATAAATAATTTCAATCATGAGTTTTTGTTGTTTTTTTAACATCTCTAATTAAATTCAGGGAATACTACCATATTATTTATTCTGACAAGCCAAAGGAATAAGGGCGTTGCACCAGTCTTCAGTGCTTGGTAATCTGAAGCATTAGAGGTTCCAGGGCTATATTTATTTACCTCTTTCAAATTCTTGATTTTTTTTTTTTTTCCTTCCTAGGGAGCATAGATTTACATTAATATAAAGTAATTTTGAGAAATTTATAATCTAGTATCACTGAAGACATCTACGGAGGTTAATCGACACAGTGTCTGTAGCTGGCAAAACTAGTTATCTGGTTACAGACAAAATCTGAGTGCGTTTGGTACCCTTTGCTGGGAGAAGGGTGGCTGGCAAATTGCAGCCAGAAAGATACTGCATGGGGAAACAGCCTGAAGTTCAGTGTAGCACCAGGACATCTCTTATACAACAATTTATATAGAAATCTCTCTTTACATATGGATGTATGTATGTAGATGCGTGTGCATGTGCGCACAGATATGTGTGTGTATGTTTTATACCGTTTTTGTCTTTCTGGAGGAGGGTAAAGGGAGAGCCTTGAAAAGTCCTTCCCTGCTCTTATCAACATAGCAGCCTCAGCTGCCCTCCTTGGATCCCCTGCCAGGGTTGCTATCATCTTCTGATCAAATATTAATGTGTGATTCTCTGCTTGCTCACTAATCCAAAGCCAATTAATATTATCTGTCAATTATTTACAGATCCTGAGGTGCGGAGGCAATTCCCAGAGGACTACAGTGACCAGGTTTGGAATGCGTAATTAATTTTTTACATGACAAAATTTATTTCAGGGTTGTTCAACATATTATTGCTGCTCTTTTACTGAAAGAGATAAATGCATTCTTAGAAAGAAAAAGAAGCTGTAATTAGGAGCAGAAGGACAAAAACATTTTCACATTTAAAGCAGAAAACAGAAGAATTTTGGATCTCATAAGATTGTTTTACAATGTAGTTTTTACAAGCAAACATGAGAGCGGGAAGGAAAATTGATTAATAAATTTCACTTTTTGCCTTTAGGTGCCACAGCCTGCAGTTCATTTGGCAGTCCTCACTTCATTGTCTGCAAGGTTTATAGCTATATTTAACTGGGCACCTGGCACTGCAGTACATTTTTTAAATTCTTGCCTGATCGTGCAGTCGCTAGTCTGTTTTGGAAAGATGGTATAAAAATACAAATGTGCAGGTAGAACACACACCTATTTATCATTTAGTTTATACATAAATCGAATCCGGAATTTTTCACAGGATCTCTAGCTGCCTTAGAAATTAACAACTTGAGGTTACCTTGGATTTTACTGTGTCTCATTAGGAGTGGATTGGGGCAGGGGGCAGAGGTTAGGGAGAGGGGATTATTGCTGTGGTGTCTATAAGTACTGCCGGAGTTAATGCGCTGTTATTGTTTGTCGATGTTTAGGGTAACTGCTGCATCTGGGTTGTGAGTGCAAGCTGATTTCTTGCACCTTTATTTCTGGGAAGTGCTGAAGTTATGGCATTGTATAACTATTTAATATAACAATAAATTTGCCTCAGTGAGTCTCTGATACTGAGTTAGGGTCAGCAGAGCTATTTTATTTCAGATCCTTTCCCTCCGATTACATTTTCATGCAATATGAAATTTCGTGGCTTTTACACTAAAGCATTAAGCAAATTGTTAGATGTGATAGCTCATCAGGGTCAGAACAGATGTTTTCGTATTTGGCTGTAATCACTCTGTGCGATGCGACCTCGACCAGGGCTTCTGGGTGCTTTTGGAGTAGGAGTAGCAACATTATTTTATTATTTTTTTTTCAGAGCAGCTATTCAACTACCTGACTGCTTTTTTTTTACATGAAGTACAGCATGGAACTAAACTTTTTTGGGGACTACATCCTATTGCTACTGTTGGTCTGTAATTTGTCGAAAAAATAGATCCTGAAGTTTGTATTTACATGACGCACTAACTACTTTTTGGCACATTATAGCGTTATCAGATTAGTCATGTGAACTAATAGTCCTTCAGAGCTGGTGCAGTCAGTGGTGTCCATGATCAAGGTATTACAGGAGAGTCTCGTATGTAAAATTTACTTTATAAAATTCTTGACAGCCCTCTTCCTTCTGCTGCAAATGATTAGACTTGTATAATATTGCTATGAATATGCAAGACTAAATCAAACTCAGAGGGGCCACAGGCTCATATATAATTCTTAAGATGTTCACCCAGTTACAGTCAGATTTTCCGATCTCTGATGTCAGACCCCACAAAATCCGCAGTAGTGGGTTTGTGTGTTTGTGGGGATGGGATGGATTTTTAAATCATCAGATATTTTGCGCATACAAACTTAAAGGGAAAGGAAAATAAAGGAGGCTAAACTTCTCAAAGTCAGAGTAGATTTAAAAACATTTTCCCTCTTGATACACAGAAAGAATATTTTCTGTGTTAATAGCAGCTATACATTTTTTAAGAAGAGAACGTGTCCTAAGTTGACAGATTTAGATTTTAAAAATCACTTGTGAATATTCAAGTAAACCGGAGAAAAAAACATAGAAGGGAATAGCTACATCCATGTTTTTCGTGATTAATCTAGAGCTGTGAGAAATGTATAGACTGCAAATCAGTCAAGTAGGTTTATTTCTTAAAACTTCTGGTTTATTGTTTTTTGGAAGAAAAAAAATTTAGAAGTGCTAAGTCACTGAAGATAAGGAATACACACTATGAAACCCTCGATTTTTCTGCATGTATTGTGTATGCAAAGGAGAGACGACATGCGTGTTAGTGTGGGCGAAAATTGTTTCTAGCAGTCAAACATTTATGATTTAATCCAGAAGGAATATTTGAGTTAAATCAACACAAGGTAAAGCACTTATTAGTAAGGAAAAAAAAAAAACCCACCTCAAGTTTTTTTATTCATCTAAACTATCAGTGCTTGTTTTTACATACACTGTATTTCCCATGTACCAGCACATCTGATCAGAGACCCTCGCTGCTGCTAGATGTTTTATTCTGTGTGTTCTTTGTACCTTACAGTAAAAGAATCTGTCACAAATTATTGTGCCTCACTGCTTTAGAAACTGAGAAAAAAGGGAGGTTAGATTGACATCTGTGACTGAATAATGATGACCAGCCTTTTGGCTCCCCTTGAGCCACAAAGCTAGCATTGCCTTTAGAGAGGAAAAAGGAGTAAGAAGAAAGGGGAGGGATAAAAGAGAGTTACAAATCTGTGGTCCCGGAGATGTATTACTGTTGGGCCAGTTGTCTGCGTGGTATGATAATCCATTTTGATCTTCTGTCTTAATTGTCTGCTAAAGACAAATGGGCAGTAAAAGTTCATCAGTTTCATCTTTTGCTTCTCATTTAGAGACAGAATAAATGATCCATCGCTACAGAAGAAACCTTTCTTTCTGACACGGAAGTAATGCAGACCCAACACGTTTTATTAAAATATTTCTCCCTCATTATTTCAGTCCTCTCAGCTCTGATAGATCTTACTGTTTCATGAAAAATGTAATCTGAAATGTAAATAAGGGGTTTGATACAAAGTAAGGAAGTAATGAGCAGGCTAGCCACATTGTAGGAATTTTGATTGTAATTACTGACAAAGTGAATTCTGTGTGTCCTGATTTTTTTCCCTCAAGTTGTCTTTGACATGTTCAGACCACAATGACATCTACGGTTTAAATCTGTTAAATAACTATATAACGGAATATTTTATAGAAAATGTCATAGACGAGGTATCGTAGGAGCCTTACGAAGGAAAGAAAATGCTAATGATTGCTCCAGGCCACTTGAAATGGTTAAAACTAGGGATTTTTTTTTTTTTTTTTGAATGGCAGGAGGGGGGACTAAAGTAATCTTGAGATACATTTTTAAATATAAGAGCATATTAACTTGTTAGGGTGTTTTATAATAGCTTTTAAGAATAAAATGTATATTTATGTGTATGTGGTTGTACCTAACATGAAATATGGTAATTTTTGGCGTTATAAGCAACAGTTTTTCAGTGCTAGCTTTTTAGCAATGGTCTTAGAATTTAAAACAGATGAGAACTCTTAGTTGTTCTTTATAAAATACAGTCACTATAGGTAGAAGTATTCTTTAAAAAAATTGACCGAAGTCAATGGTCTGGCAGAAAAATACTTGGGTATTACTACATTTTCTGCTTTGGGTTCCTAATAAAGCTATAGTAATGAAATTAATTTTTTGTAGGGGAAGTCCTGTGCTGTTGGAATATTATAAATACTAAACTATGACCAGGTCACTTTACCCTTATCCCTGCATGAAGTTTGGCTGTCTGCTATTTCGAAGATTAATCCCAAGATTAATAGGTATCCTGGGGTAACTAATTTTAATACAAGGAAGTTTGTTGCAAAGGTCTGACCTTCTATCAGAAAGGATGTTTCAGCAAATAGTTAATGTATAAATATATAAAAATAGAAATAGTCAAGCAATCAATGGAAGGTGGAGCAGGAGATACACAATTTTGTAAAACACAATATATTTTTTAAATGGCTTTTTTTGTGTAGCGCATCATTTGGTTCCTTACTGTTTTAATCTTTATAGCTCATCTGGAACGGAAAGAAAAAATTATGTGGTGGTAGTTCCCATTTGTGAGCTGCTTCAAGTGGGTATGATGACTTGCCTATAATTTGATGAACTATTGTATGTATCAGTTAATTACTACAAGAATGACTGAGGTTTGCATGCTTGCAAGCTGGTACTTATGCAGATTGCTAGTTCAATTCTGCTAGTAATTTTTCTTTCCACTGGCATTGAAACAGCGTTTATAATGAAACCAACAATCTTTACACATTTATAGAAACTATAAAACTTTTATGGCAGTCTTTATATAGAAACTAATGGTCTTTCTTCTACAAAGTCTATGAGCATTGTAGAAACATTGCATACAAGGAAAAATAAAAAGCACCCTTTCTTTGTGTCATTGTAAGAGTTGTGTGGTTGGGGAGTTTTTACACAGTGCTGGCCATTAATGGAGCCTAGACCCACCTATCTTGCAAAATCTGTGTGCTCTAAGAGGACTTAGCTGCTTGAACAGGGATGATTATGATCCAATTTGATATTTCTGAATTGCATGTAGTATTCTTAGTATAAAGTTTTTGCCTTTCAGGTTGCATACACTGCACGATGAAACCTGTCTTAAGAGTAATTTAAACTGATAGCTATCCTTTCAAGAGTAGATGAAGTTGAATTGGAAGGGTTGAGTAATTAGTCATTCAGAACATCTAGAAAAGTGGTCGTAGTGTTCTGAAAGCCACTTTGTAGTAAAACCAGGGCAGTGTAAACAGTAAATATATGAAGTATTTGATACTCACTTCTGAAGCATTTGATACTCTCGGTTTGCATAGAGCTATCGTAGTGCATTCATACAGGAGTCTTTTTAAGTGAAAGCCTAATAAAACTTAATGTAGGGTGGTTACAAACATTTTCCTTGTACAGTGACCCCTGTTGACTAGGTAGCGGTAAAATAGCAGCATGAAGGAAACCTTTGTGTGGGGTAGGCAAGCAGTGTGTGTAATGTGGAAGGAGATCGCCTTGTGCCTTCCGTGCAGGTAGTACAGCTGCTGCTCCACTGAAGCCTTCTGGAGACAACGTACCCTATGAGGACAAAGCTGGGGGCTTTGGTTCAAGTCCTGAGGGCTAGTGGGCAGGACTAAACTGTGGGCTTTGACTATAGAACTGAGTATTTTCTGAATTCAGAGTATTTTTCTAGACCAGATGTATCTCCTTTGATACAGGAAAGTGAAGAAAAT